TTTCTATAAATCGTCAAGAATATTTTCGATCAATTTTATATAACACAAACCCGTTTCATCTGAGTTGTTTAGAATTTCTTTCCAGTACTAATTAACAACTTATAACAATTGTTCAAAAGAATTCTAACCTTTTTCAAATCAACAGTAGCCACTTCGTTGTGAGTTTTGTTGATTGTTTTATTGTTTATCTTGTATAAATTTGAAACACCCAATAGAAGCGCCTTGATGGATAGTATCCGTTTTTTTCGAATAAGTTTTTTAGCTTGGTGAACTAACATTTAATAATCAATTGGTATCCCTGCTTCATGAAAGTTGTTAAACCAATTTATCATTGATTTTTCAAGTTTTGGGTTTTATGGTATTCTTTTGTGTTTTTTTGAAGAATGAAATTTTTCTTAGTGTTTCTATAGAGATAAAACATGACAGATAAAAATGATTATATGTAACAACCAATTTAATTGTAGTTTTACAAATTCTATTTTCTTTTGTGTGTTTTGATAAATACTAACCCTTCCAATACCAGAAATATGCTTGTAATAACACGCATACAGATCAATATAAATTTAAATTTGTAAACTAAAAGTTATTCTAAATTAAACAGTATTTATTTTTAATATTGTAGTTTTCAGTTCAAGTTTGATGTATCATTTATAATATATAAAAAGTTTGCACGTTTTATTTTTGTATGTTATATAAATTAAAAGTCTAACACAGTTGTGTTATACATATTAGTTATAAAATATATTTTATGATAATTTAGAGTAATGTATATAAAGGTTCTTTCTTTAAAATGTGAAAAAGGTAGTAATGTTATTCATATACATTTAATTTATTTTGTGTAATGAAAACGAATTTTTTAAACGATAGTTAAGAAGAAAAATTTAGTAAATATATCTCATATACATATGATTCTCAACAAAAGGTTCATAAAGTGAGAACGCTAATAATCAGTGTGGTTGCACAACTAATATCATAATATTTAATTGTTTGTTATATATATTAAAATTCAATAAAATGTCAACTTTTTTACACGTTAGTTACAAAACATCAAAACATTTACAATATAAACTAAATTAAAATAATTACTTTTGGAATTTTCAAAGTATGCCGTATTCATTGTTATTCAATGAAAGCAAGGTGAAGCAAGTCCCCTGTTAATTTTTAACATTTTTCCAAAAGTGCATCCTTAAAATAAAAAAATTAACAAACAATCTTAATATAGTGCAAATTCAATTGTTTTTAAAAAAATAATTGATAATAAACAAGTAAAAATTGTGTTGTTTAAAACGGAGAAAAAAGGCTAGTTTTGACAAATTATTTAACATAAAAGTGTAAATTTTTGTTTTTTGTGAACCCTAATATAACTGTTTTTTGAATAAAAACACGTTATCAAGTATAGTTTAATTTACTATAAATTAATACCATTTAAATATCTTTTAAAAATTAATAATAGCTTGATTTTTTTTTGTTTAGTTTGTAGGTAAAAATGTACTATTTTTTAGGAATAATAGCACGACAAAACATCCAATTATATTTAAAATATAAATAATTAGGCATAATTTTCCCGATAATATTCACAAATATCTGCATCAAATTAATCCCATAAGAACAAGTTCCGTTCTCAGAATAGTTTAAGCTTAATGGTATTATTATCATTTTAACAAATAAATGTTAAATTGTTATTATTAATAAGTCAAATAATTAAATTTATTAATTTAAGTTAAAATTATCATTTATTAATTTATTTTTATATTATTTTTAAAAAACAGTTAAATAATAAAAATTTTTTATATATAATATAATATAATATAATATAATATAATATAATATAATATAATATAATATAATATAATATAATATAATATAATATAATATAATATAATATAATATAATATAATATAATATAATATAATATAATATAATATAATATAATATAATATAATATAATATAATATAATATAATATAATATTTAATATTTAATATTTAATATTCATACAATTTAAAAAAAATTAACACAATCTTACAATTATTTATATAAAATAATCATATTTTTATTTAAACAAAATATGTTTTATTTTATTTAAATTAAATATGTTTTATTATAATATAATAAAGTAAAATATATCAATATGAATAATAATTGAGAATTTCATCTTCATTAACCCAAAACAAATGAACGAACAAAAGCGCATAAACAATCGAAAAGAAATGTTTTCTTCATATATGATATTTAAACTTCACATTCAAGAATGCCAAGAGAACGAACTAAAAAACAGTTGGTACTGTATTTTGTGCAACAAAATTGTAGGATACGAAAGAAGATGTGACCATTTTATTGATAAACACCAAAAAAGATTGTTTGAACTTGGTTATGACATAAACACAAACAAGGATAGACTTGAAAACATATTTAATTTAAATTTCCATCGTATTAATTGTCTTTCAACTTATGCTTTAGATTTTTCCAAATACAATTCTGATGCTATAATAATTGATAATTATTTAGACGATATTTACACAATAAAACGTCACTGTCCGACAACACCACACCAACTTTCCGATATAAGAGACTTTATCCTTAACTCAATGAATCCAAATGTATTGAAATATGCTCGTGAAATAAACGGCGGTGTTCAACATTTATTTAATTATGCATATTTTCCCAATTCAAACGAAGTGTTAACAGAAAACACATTTGAATGTAATGACAATGATCTCAATTTTTCATTGAGAAATGAAATACAATCAGAAATTCATATAGTTGTTTGTAATGATGTTGAAATGGAAAGAAACAATACAAGAAACGTTTAATCCAACACAAATTCAGATACCAGAAATGCCACCCATATTGAACAATAACACAGAACCATTAAAAATTGTGAATAAGTTAACTCCAAAACAATATCTTCAATCGAAAAGATCAAAATTCTTCGAAATTGTATCAGAAGTAATAATCGAAATTATGATGTTGAAACTGCAACTGCAAAAATATTGGAGAAATCGGTACTTGAAGCTTTTGAAACACAGAGAAATGCCAAGGGAATTTTTTTCGGATCACAAATTACATTCGATAAATGAATATATAACTGTTTTGTTTGCTATTATTTCAAAAGCCACTTCTATGACCGAAACACAAATTAATGGAATGAGGTCCGTGTTATTGGTTGTTTGAAACTTTTAAGCGGATAATGGTGGGAAAGGTATCTCTGTATTGACTGTGATGTATTTTATAGTGAAAGTGCATTCAAATCATTTGTCAAACATTATGATTCACAACAATTTGGCAAACATCCAATAACTTCAATTCATATACAATTTCCGATAGAACTAACAACGACATTAAGGGGAAAGACCGAGTTTGATGAATTTGGAACATTTCTATTTAATCATTCAAAAGTTGAAGGTGGTGATATTTATATTTTCATGTCATTAAAACAAAAAGAAATACTTACACGAGCAACAACCATATTTGCGGATGGAACTTATATATTGTACCTGAAATATTTCACAATCTATACACAATTCACTCCATGGTTAATGGTAAAGCGTTTCCTTGTATTTTTACTTTAATGCCAAATCAAAAATCCACAACTTATAAAACATTATTAGATGTGGTTTCTGAGTTTATACCAGTTGGTATAACAGTTGTTACTGGTTTTGAGAAAGCAGCTATTAATGAATTTAATTTTCATGGTTTTAATGTACATGGTTGTTTTTTTCACTTTTATCAAGCATTGTGGAAAAATGTGTGACAAAAGGGGCTAATAGCATATTTTTATGCAAGTTTGAATGTCAGAAAGTGGGTAAGAAGAATTTTTGGTTTATGTTTTTGCCAAATCAGGAAGTTAAATCAACTTTTGATTTAATTGTTGAAAAGTATAAAGATCAAAGATTTGGCATTGAAACTGACTATCAAAAACCGTTTGAACTGTTTCTAAATTACTTTGAAAGCACTTTGATGCATCAAGTTGAACTTTGGAACCAATTTGAGTTGTTTGAAAATAGAACCAATAACGTCAGTGAATCATTTCATAGTGGATTTTCTCAAAGATTTAATCGTGCACATCCAAACACTTGGAAAATGGTTGCTCAATTAAGAATGGTCGAAAATTTAACAGTGGAACGATACATTGAACATATAGCAAAACCAAAACAACAACGAGTTAATCAAAGTACACAAAAATACAATGAAAACATAAAAAGAATTGTACTTGAATATAAAGAAGGAAAATTTGTGAGAGTTTTTGAGTATCTTGATTGTCTGACTAAAAGCACGATAAGTTACCAATGGAAAATGAAAAGCAGCTTGTTAAGAACTATTTCAATACATTTAAAATCTGTCAAAATCCAAATGAAACACAAGAAGAAGTCTAATTGATTAATACTTGTATTTTTGAAAACGAAGTTGAACAAATTGAGTATACAACTCTTGTCACAGAAAAAGAAGAAGAATCTATCCACAAAGAACAATTAAATGGTTCATTGACATGTGCGAGTATATTACAACAAGATAAAACATCAATTACAAAAACATAGAAAAGAAAATCCACTTGTCTGTTAACCAAGAAAAAATATATCAACCCAAAAGAAAGAATAACAAAGAAAAAGGCTAAAAAAGGAATCAAGTAATATAATATTTGGTAAAAATTAATTGTTTTTTGTTTGTTTTATTTTTTGTTTTAATAATAAAAAACAAATATAATAGAATGAATATAATAATCTATTAAATTCTTGATCCAATTAAACCGATTCATTTGATCTTGACTCATATGAACCGCAATCCTTCACAATTCCATGATAAACACATAAATAAACCCTTTATTTTGTAATTCTTATTAACTACTTTAATAATTGTTATGGACAGTATCAATGGATTTTTTGACAAAACAACAACATAAACATAGTGTTTTTGAGAAAAGTAATATTGATCAAATCACTGAAATAATGTTCTATTGATTAAAATTATCTAGAAAAGTAATAACGACTTGATATAAATGAATTAGTCGTTTTGATTCATATCATAGATCTTTTTGATGATATCTCTATCAAGTGAGTTGCACCCTTGGAATGAATCTTTGCCGACAGAAGTTAACGTACTTGGCACTGTTATTTTTGACATATTCGTGCAAGTCATAAAACACTGCCCCTCAATCTTTTTTACGTTTTCGGGTATTTCAACGTTGTCAAGTGATTGGCATCCCAAAAAACACGAGTCTGGTAACTCTACAAGTGAAGTTGGAATATGAATTTCAGGTAAAGCAATACACCCTGCAAAACAGTATTCACCAAACATTTTAACTGTGTCTGGCATATCAACCTTGGTAAGATGCCAGCAGCTACTGAAGCAAGCCATTCCAAGTGAAGTGACACTTGTTGGAATCACAATTTGTTTGAGCCCATTAAATTTGAAACAAGACTCATCAATAGAAGCGGCAATGTCTGGAATTTTATCGAAGTAGTCTAAATCACCTTTGTCAAATATGATGTTGTGGAAAACGTATTTTTCTGGGTTTGCTCCATACACTGTATTACAATTGACTAAATGCCAAATTTCATATTTAACAATGTGGCCATCATCGAAAGCATCGTCGTCTTCATAGTAATAGTGAAGAGTTTCAATGTTTGGGAAGTAGGCTCGGGTGGTTGTTGTTAAAGGAATTGGGTTGTAGTGGTACATGGTAAGAAACTCGTTATATTTCTTGGAGGTCTTAACTATGTTGATAAAGTCATTGATTGTTTTAAAATACTTACCAACAATCATCATGTGGAAAGCATCCAGATGAGACATTTGTAATTGTTATAAAGATGGATTTGTTGGTTTATATATAAAGTAAAAAACATTTGATAAGAAAAAGTATACTTTATAATGTTAATTAAATAATATATGTATTATTAAAAATAAAATGTTTTGAATGAAAGATTAAAAGAACTGTTTTTGAGTGTGATAACTTCATTAAATAACTTTTTGAGTCTTGTAAAATCGAAAACATTTAATTATATATAATAAACTGAAAGAATAACAATATAACAAATAAAAATTCATTTTAGATGTATTCAAAAAATTAAACATTACAGTCAAAACCGCAAACCGGATTCAACTGGTAGATAGTCTGTCTTAATTTTTAAATGTTTTCAGTCGGAATTTGTGTTTGGAACTATTATTTTTAATTTGTTGAATAAATTAATTAGGATTTGTCAGCCAGTAGTGATAAAAAAATGGCTAGCCACAAAATCGTCCAAACTATACACATTCTAAAATGATGGTAAAAAAGAAAACCATTTAAATAATGAGGAATAGAAAGTATAGTTTTATGTAGTTTTGAAAAGCCATAACAAATCTCCATGTTTTTTAATAGTTTTAAACATAGTAAATTAAATTAATGGTAATAGTTTGTCGTTTGTGTCAAACAAAAAAATATATAAGTAAATTATAGTAATAAATATTTATTTATTCAGAAAAGAAACACACAAAAAACAAAAAGACAAAAAACAATTTATTATACCAATTAATATTTATGTTTTTAAAAATGTTTGTTTCTGTATAATTGTAATGTATCACAACCATCTTTATTTTGAATAATTTTTATAACTTAAATATGAACATTTAATTGTTTGATGTGTTGTGTTTTCATCAACAGACATTACAGGGAGGATAAAAAACCGCTTCAGTCTTTTTAACCGCTTCCTATCGATTTAATAGTTATAAATAATAACATTATAATAAAAAGTATGATACAAATTACCACCTCGGACAGAAAAAGTCTCCACGAGGCATATTCAGCC